ACTGTACCTGTAGTGTATTAAAATTACCGAAAAAAATTTCTTAGTACAATTTTTGCTTTTTGAATAAAAAAACTGATTCTTTGCACTTTTCTGCATAAAAAAGCACTCTTGTGAGTTTTCGTTATAGTTAGCCGTTTTTGAGATATTTCGATTTTTAAGGTTCGATGCATTTAATTATTTATGCGAAAATAATATATTTTTTTACATTTTAGATTTGGGCATTACAAGTAATTAAGATGATCGTTTAGATTGTGTTTTTAAACACAGCAATAATTCCTAACTCCAAACAAACACAAAAAACAATATTGATTTGTTTAATTCTCCAATATTATTTTTAACAAATTAAATTAATTATTTACAACTGAAATGCTATTGGATAGTTAGTATTTCGCATTTTTCGACCCATGTTTATATAGACTTTAGCATTCATTTTAAAAGTTCTAATCGAATCTTAAAGTTATGCAACATAAACTGAAACACCCTGTATATTAGAAATACGATTTGAAGAAAAAAAATGACAATATATGGATTTTTGCATCGAATAAACCAGATGGAAAAACAGGAAGCAAAAAGCTGTAAAAAATGGAAATTTAAATTACAAGGAATTGTTGAACAGATGAAAAGTCATTTCAGTTATTTAAATCAAGATTAAAATTGAAAAATCAATCCTGTCTAAAAGTCTACAGTATCTTGAAAGTTTCAGTATCAATTAATTTTTTCTTACCATCTCGGCCATGACACAACCCAAACTCCATATATCGATCCCAGTACAATACATCCTAGCTCCCAATAATAGCTCTGGCGCCCTATACCATACTGTTACCACTTCGTGGGTATAAGTACGGGTAGGTAGTGAAAAAGACCTTGACAGTCCAAAATCTGCAAGTTTAATGTGGCCTTCTTTATCGACTAGAAGGTTCTGAGGTTTCAAATCGCGATGGAGAATTCTGTGTGAATGCAGGTACGCTAGCGCCTCTATCAATTGCTTCATGTAGCTCTGAAAATATATGACAATAGCATTCAGCAGGTTGATCCTAGAGCTGCCTAAGATACTAGCTCATAGCTGATGAATGATCTGCTAAATAAACTAACAATAACTAAAAATGAACTCAACGTGCTGGATACCTCTGAGATGCGAATAAATACAACCAATGATTTAGATATCAGAAAATTTCCACAAAAACACAGTGAGGGGCATTTTTCCACAACAGCATACTCAAAATATTTTATGCAAAAATGAGCATCAGTTTTGGATATTCATATAAACCTACCCTTATAAGTTCAGCTCTAGTGGTGATCTTGTACCATCCAAGTACCTCTTGAGATCAAGATCTAAGTATTCAAAAACTAATACAATTTATCAGTGGTTTGGCATCACATCTAGCAATTCCACTATCGACGAGTGTCTAAGTCCTTAAGAGGCTAATTTTCACGAATTGCTGTGGGTGGTACAACCTTCTGCCTCCCCATCACTCTGTAGAACCCTGTATAAAAAATTGACTGATACCTAAATACATACAAAAAGTATTTTAGAATCATATAAATAAGAATGGTGGTCTGATTCATCATCTATCAGAGCAGTATGTGAGGCCTATGCTTTGGCTTCAAGCCTGTGCTTCCTCCTAGAGGCACATGCTCCCTAACTCATCAAATACATGACTTTTATGGAAACCTGAAGCCCCAGCTATTTTTTTTCTGCCCTGCCTGTTGATACGTGAATGATAAAGAGATATAAAGAGCATTATAAAAAAATGTTACTTACAGTTAGTAGCGATGATGCTGCATAAGATTCTAAGCTGAATCATGTGGTGCTACGATATAGTACAAACGTAAACACACACAGATTCAGCTGGGCATCTTACAAATTAATCGTTAGATGTTCGCATCAGCGTTGAAATGATCTGTGATAAAGCATGCAAATAAAATAATGTAAAATTAAACTCAATTCAATTTACGTAATATTGATGGTTCAGCCTGTTCAAGCAAAGTATTCCTGGAAAACGAGCGTGCAACATGCAAAATATTTTTCGACAGCGGACGCCAAATAGGCACAAAGCTTACTTTTCCAATTTAATCCTCTTGAGAGCCACATTCTTGCCAGTCAGCTTGTTCTTGGCTTTGTAGACCACGCCGTAAGTGCCTTCGCCAGCTTTTGCTAACTTTATAAAACGGTCTAGTTTGTCCATTTTCATTCAGATTTCGGTCAAAACCACCTCCAAGACACTCCGTTTATTTAGCGGGAAAAAAGTGGCTTTCTTCCAGGAGCCCATTTTTGTTTATGCTGATTCTGCGCATGTGTCGGCGAGAAAGGCGGTCAATATTTCATTCGTTGCCAATCCTGCGAAATGAAATGTTACTAAGATTCTAACCGAATGTAGTACATTTTTTTTTGTTAACACTGGCAACCCCTTTCTCATCGCTAATTATGACAAATATCCGTATCTACTAATTTCATCTCCAATGAGTTTTGGCCCGAGTAAAGATAACATGGCCATGCAAGACAACTATTGAAATATACTCTACTAGTCTATCCGCAGCTAAATTTTTCTGGAAATCGTTGCATACCGCTAGAAAATCCGAATTAAGATTGGAAAACTGCCGCTTTGACGTACTAAATGACGCCGTCGTTACCTCGGGATAGACATACGATCTTGTCATTTTTGTCACCTAGATTGCGGCGTTGCCAGCTCATCGGACAATTTTGCAACCTTTGCTATTTAGCTAGAATGTTGTTTCTACTTCCTTGTGTTACCCACCCGCCATATAGTACGGTCATTATATTATACGGTATAAATAATAATGGAATCTGTATAAATTATACATTTGGGCAATGTGCAATAACCTAAAATGCTCTAATACTTCGACATAGATGGAATGAATGATGAATGAATCTAGAAAATCGCACTGTTTCGATACTGTCATAGCAAAAGTTCACATAATGTGACGGCGCTATGAAGACCTGAACACCCCCCGTCCCGAGCCCCGCACGCAGGTGAATTCATCGCGATGCAGCAGAGCGGTACTCGAGAACATATTCTTCGGAAGAAAAGGATTAAGTTTTGTAGCACATTTTTTAAATAAAGAAGTAAAGTGAAAAAAGTGAAATGAAATATGTATTTAGGTGAATGATCTTGAAGTGCGTGTTTCTGGAAGAAGGCTCCTCAACATAGCAAATTAGGTAAGTAACTTTACATCTTTGGCATCGCTACCATCACTTACATACGTATATTTAACTACTTTTAACGTAACTTCAACAACTTGATTCAGTCATCTCTTCCAGACTTGCAAGAGGAGATCTTTTAAAATTTTCAAATTCGGCTCTGTCCTCATGCCTCCGGTTCTCGATTTTATAGCCGTTTTATGACAATCAGAAAAAATGTAAACGAATACAATATCGTTGTCGTCTACTATATTTTTCTATGTTGGTAGTTCTATGAAAATGAAATTACAATATCAGGTGCAAAAACTTAGGATGTCAACCTTAACACACAAGTAGATGAGTATATGCAAGGCTCACCTACTTTGCTGCACATATATCCTGTTTTCCTCAGAAGCGTTGGAAGTAGACCTAATTTCCACGTTGGAGACACTGTGAGTGCTGTACCTCGCTGCGGCGATACCGTACGGCCGGGTAGTGAAGCTACGCCCCTTTCCAGCTCCCACTCCGCGCGTCTGCTACTGGTCCACGTAAACATCGAGTGGCTTCGGGAGCAGACGCGCTGCGGTACGGACAGGTCGTACAGTCACGCCCCTTTCTAGCTCCCACTCCGCGGGTCTGCTCCCGGTCAACGTAAACATCGAGTCGCTTCGTGATACTGCCAGATAAGAAAACGCACACGCGCGGAGTGGGAGAGGGGAAAGCGGCTGTACTACCCGGCCGTACTGTATCGCCGCAGCGAGGTGCATCACTCACTTCAGTCTCTCGGCAACCGTCGTCGCAGCGGAATGTCCACGCGTTCACAGCTACGTGTGAGCTCTATTCGGTTAAACTATTTTTTTAGTAGTGGTATACACTACAGGGTTCTCGATTGTCTCTCAGTGGTGTTTTAGTGTTGTGCCGTGGGTGTTAAGTGTTTCCAACGTGGAAATTAGGTCTACTTCCAACTCTTCTGAGGCAAACGGGATATCTGTGTAGCAAACTAGGTGAGCCTTGCATACTCGTCTACTTGTGTGTTAGGGTTGACATCCTATGTGTTTTTTTAAATAAATTGCATACATTGAGAGATTAGTAATATACTAAGTTATAAACAAACGTGTTTTTTTCTCTATTTTTTCATTTTATTTAAGTAGGCGTTGCAAACAAATGCTTGATGTAAGATTGTGTGATTGATCAATTTTGAATCTATACAATTGGTAGTGTCAAGTTGAATCATTGACAATTGTCGAAAAAATGATCAAAATAAAAAATACAAAACTTTCAAATACGTGAATTCAGGAACTTCACTTCTTAGGAAACTCGGCCAAATCGAGCCATGCTAATCGACCGCAATCTGAAATATGTTGGCAACCCTGTTACATCAGTGTCTCCACCAAGAAAATTAAATCACTAAAGTATATCAGAGGTGACTAATAAAAGTATAGGATAATTTGCAACGCGGATTGAGTCATATCGAAAAAATAGCGATGTAGGGAATAGGAGCAAACAAATTTTATAACGACCACAAAGGATCTGCAGAAGATTCAAAAATACATTTTTTAACTCTCACACAGCCGTCTTTTGGCTTTGTATTCACCATTTGTTTTTTAGATATTGGCGACATTGACAGCGGTGTTGCCGGATCTACCGATTTTTCGGTTTTCTATCGAAATACAGAAATTTTCATATTCCAGGATTCGAATAATTCACATATTTCCAACTTTTTTGCCGGAAAAGTGCTGAAACCAAAAATGAATTCTATGAAGTAGACTATTTAATTTTATTTCCCATAAGCGTACGTACATAAGCAGTGGGGCACACGAGGAAAGGTGACTATCTACCGATTCCATCTTTTTCGGTATGGCAACACTGATTCAGTAATTGACAGTGTAAATTTTGGCCTCCAATTTGAAAAATCTAGACTACCTTACAAACTCATTTTAATGAATTATTTAAAAATTTCGGTTTTTAACGCGTTTTTCATCAATCGTTGCGTACCAAATTCTAAAATAAAACATTTTCAATTCAATCGATAATCTGTACCCCACCAATCTCATCAGACGTAGCGCCCTCTATTTCCGTAACCGTTCCTTTCGCGTACTTTTGCTTGCGTTGTGTTGTGATTCGGATGGGTGGTGTTCGCGTTATTCTATCAAAACACTAAGAAAATAACCCGTTAATATAAGTTATTAATTCACCCAGTTGTTCAAAAACACCACTTTTATTCAGGGTGTCGTTTCACATAAGGTAAGAACTGTAGATTTGCTGTATTTACATTCGTATTTCTAAAATTTGTTCGGCTTCGGGAGCCGCCATGATGGCGTCGGTTCCGAATCAGAAAAAAGATTCGTTGATAACGCGTAAAGTTCGATAGATTCATCGGTTATTAACCGTGATTTTTGCTACTCGACCTAATATTTATCGATAGATGCTAACTGTATTTTGAGAAATTGGCTTTCCATGATGTCTGGAATATTTTGCTAGTTCCGACATTTTTTTTTGGTATTGTGCTTCGCTACGCTCATTTTTTGCGTTTTGATATTTGTTTTCATAAATAACAGCAGTTTAAATCGCTCATCGATTATTTTTCTAATAACGTTGCGGCAAACATCCATTTTTTTATACGATCAGAGTAATTAGTTGTGCACAGCGTTGCCGTTGTGAATAATTTTTACGGCTAGTTGAGGATTTTTGATAGCTTGTGTTCTGGACCAAGGATTGTTTTATCGAATTTTTATTACTGCGACAAAACAAAAAAAATGTTGCAACATTGTGGTGCGTGAAGAAAGATTGGAGTTTAGATTTTCTGATTTCGGCTTGATTCTGGTTTTATAGATGTTTTATTACAAGGTGAAACGTTTGAAATGTTGAAACACTTTGTGGGGTTTCAAGAAACGCTTGTGATATTAATGATCTAAAATTCGCAATTTTTATAGTTTTACCTGAAATGATCTTGTTTGGACTAAAAAATGCTACTTTTGGGCCATAGTGCACAGTGGTATGACATTGTTGACACTTAGATATTCGTGTTTAAACGCGTAACGGCGATCTTTTTATTCTTGAATTTCCTCCCATCTATGTGATTTTCAAGATATCATTACATCAAAAATATTACATTGAAAACGTTTGTATCTACCACATAATAGCGTTATTAGGGTGTGTTTATTTAACATTTTACGTTAAAAATGATGTCTGCTAAGCTCCTCAAAATGCTGACTGCTGTCTTCAAAACGTGAAGGCAACTATTAAAAATGAATATCTACGAATTTCGGGGTCATGCGTACCTTGATCGATTTTTCATACACCACAATCTTTTACCATTTTTTTTCTCGTAATTATAAAAATTCGATAAAACACTCCTTTTACCTGATAAATATCATTTTGGTTAAAAAACACATCTAAATTGTATCTTAAGGCTCTGATGTTTCCATTTTGTTAACAAAAAACATTTGATTCTTAATAATTCACAAAGACCAGCTAGAAAATTCATCTCCATTTTCGTGGATAATGTTTGAAGTCGGTTTGGCAACATTGTAGCGTGCGTGTACAGCTCCGGCAAAATTTCTCGTACCCCACGCTACCATTTAACTGTTAAATAACTACGTTTTATCGACGTTTCTGGAAGTTTTCCAACGTTGTTTCTATCGATACGATGAAATGCGGTATGCGGCCAAGTAAACAGAGTAATCTTATGCTGAATAATTTGATATTGGTAATGGATGGATTTATATTTCAGTGATTTTTTTCATTTAACGTGACAATAAGCGATGACGCATCAACTATACATATATAGCTCAATTCTCCCTTTTCGCACTGTTTTTTGAAGAAATTCTTGGAATTCATTTTCCGTTATGAGAGTCCTTGAAAACTGGAAATACTGCAGATGAGACGATGACGTTCATGTACAGCCCGGCAAATGTTCTCGTGCTCTACGCTAAAGCAATGCTGTCACGATACGTTTTGTACATAGATTAACAAATTTGTTTAGATAAAAATGTTACTGAATTTCGATCACAATTCTCAACAACTAGAATCATGTATAGAGTTCAACTTGTATTTTGATCTTGACCATTTAAAAGTGGGCTCTACTTTTTTTAATCAAACTGTCTTTAACCCTCACAACAAGCCTAATGAAATATTTTGCTTTCAAGACGAAGCGATATCGAGGTTAAACGTTGAATTTTAAAATGATTTATGACTTAACAATAGCTGCTTTACACAAATAAATCTGTGTGAGAAAAATTGAGGAATTGCTTAAAAGTCAAGAATACCAACATATACAGCAACTTCCTATGTACCAACCTCAGGGACAAATAGCAAAATATAACTTGTGTATAATAAACCTGACTATTAAAAAGATGACAATATACTTAAATACTGTTTTTCTTGAAATAAAGCTAAAGTGTCAAAATGTAAGGATTATAATTTTAATATCAAATCACAAAACGCGTTAAACAACGAAGGTTGGTATCTAGGAAAAAGAACCAAATGTAGCTAGAATTTAAAAAAAAAATGACGGAAAATGAGAACAAGCTCAAGGTTAAAAAATTGTACGCGGGCCGTGTCTTGACTAGCTTTCTGCACTGCAAATCTCCTTCATACCTTGAAAACATATTAATTTTCATATCTAATCTCCCTAATCTAGATATAAGAGATTACTTATCTCTGGCCATGCCTTCTCAACTCTTCTATAGAAGCTTTAGATATGTCAGTTTTTCATTTCCCTTTGGAAAATTATGAATACAAAAATTTACTGTAGCACTTGAAAAATATTTAGTTGATAGACACTTGAAAAAACATGAGATACAAGTAGGTAATGATAATAATTTTTATTCAAATTGCTTTGCGGATATGAATCGTCAACAGGAAAAGATCAGATTTACATAAGTCGAAAAAATTGACGACGAAATTCAAATTTATTCTGACCTCGATACTCTGCGAGCCCTGCTTTGAATAACCTTGAGACAAGGTGAAGGTCAAGGCTAAATATGACATCCTCGGTTATTCATTTAAAATGCTTGTGCAACAGTGCTTTGCAGACAAAAAAGTAGCAAAAGATCAATAGATGTATATTGCACTATGCTTCTCAAGTAAGATTATCAAATTTTAAGAATATAGACTGCATATGAACTTTGAAGGTCAAGGTCAAAAATGGCTCATGGTTTCTATAAAATCCTATTGTATCTTAGCAATCAGTATATTTCTTCCAAAATCCTTTTTGGTGGTGGAAAGGAAAGGAAAATTCCAATACAGCACTTGGTTTTTTTATTCCAGCTCCGACCATGGCGTCGGAACAATTTTCACTATGCTGGGACAACTTCCACAAGAACATGAGTTCAGGGATGAACTCGCTGCTAGAGAGCGAAGACTTAGTCGATGTGACGTTAGCCGTGCAAGGAAAGTGCCTGAAAGCACACAAGATGGTGCTGAGTGTGTGTAGTCCCTATTTCAAAGAACTCTTTAAGTCCAATCCGTGTCAGCACCCGATAGTGTTTATGAAGGACGTTTCGTACGAAGCGCTTAGTGACCTTTTGCAATTCATGTACCAAGGAGAGGTGCAAGTTAGTCAGGAGAATTTAACCACGTTTATTAAGACTGCCGAGGCCCTTCAGATTAAGGGACTCACCGCCGACGGCAACGTGAGTATATTTTTTTTTTAGCTTGGAATGTTTCAAAATAATGATGTTTCAAAAGTGTAAGAGTATAGATTATGCAAATTTGTTGTAACGTATGTCCTAAAGGTTTTGGTACAAAATATCGTATTTTTTTTTTAGTGAAGAAATTCATTTGCAGACTAACTATTTATAATAAATTACAATTTAACTAAACTATGCCACTGAATTATGTGGAGTGGCCAATTCTGCTCTACTAGATGCAACTTTCTTCGAATGTCCCTCATGAGGTTTTGGATGGTATTCAGATCAATTTCTCTCGGTTTTTCGTAAATGCGCCATCTTCCCAGCCTCCATGATAAACTTTCTTGACTATTTAAAGCCCCCTCACTCTTCCCACAAAAGGTTGGGATACACCCCTGTTAGAAATTGCGCACCAGACAAGGATTTTATCTGCAAATTTCATTCTATGTTTCATTCTACATTCCTCTACATTGTCCATATAAAATCCGTCGTTTCCCTTCATTTCAGAATTACTCAAAGTGAAATACTCTTAGTCATCTAAAGTAATGAGTTTTCGATTTTTATACACTTTTTCTCATTTCTAATTTATACATCTTGAAGCAAAAACTTCAAATAAACAAATGTCAACTGACAGTAAAGTAAGTAAACAAACTTTCATTTCCAAAGGCAACTTGATATTATTCTGTTTGTTGAACTTAGAGCTAATGAATTTTGTGCCAAAACTGTCAAGGCCACAATGTTTTCCTCAAATTCAACTTCATGGTCAAGTTTCCTAAATAATACATGATAATTTAGATACTTGAGATATTTTTTGTTTTGTACCAGCTTATAGTAGTGAAACATGATGATTCATACACTGAATTTCTTCGGAAATTGTGAAGATATGTATGGGACGTAATTCTGATTTCACTATATCGTCTAAATACGAGTTGACAAGTTTCTGAAACTGTGAAGCAAGTATTATGCGTTTTTCTTATTTTTCAGGGTTCTGCCGAGAATGAGACTTCCGAAACCCACGAAAAACCTCAACGGCATGTGGAAGAGTACAAACCCATGCCAAGGCCAAAGAAACAACCCGCACCCGCAGTAGCACCATCACCTTCAATCAAAAGGCAGAGGCTGTCGTCTGACAACCAGGTACTTGATAATTCATTATAATTTTGACTTTGACGTTCTTATAATATTGCTACGTTAACTGAAAATTTTCAAATATTTTTGGTCCAGATTTTTGAATTTCATTTCTGTATTTACTTGAAACATAATGGTGCCAGGTATTTAAAATTTGGATCTACGTTAACTCGTATGTCTATGATTCGAGGAATGAGGTTTTTTTTTAACATTCTGTTGTTGAATATAATACAGGATCTGATTCAGAACGAGAAATGAAATTCTTGTTTTTATTTTCAGTCGACAGCGTCAATCGCGTCGACGCCGATAACGAAGCAGGAGCCTAGCGCGAGTGCTTCAGTCGGTTCGACGTCCCTGTCTCAACCCGAACAGGTTCATTTTAAAATGGAACCTTACGATCAAGGTAGCGGGATATTGGACGAGACGGGAGACGAGACGTTCGGCGACGACACCTTAGGTGAGTCATCAAAACTAATGTTTCGTTTAAAATTCTGAGATTTTCCTTTGAACTGAAAGTGAAGAAATACAACAAAAATCGTGTTTTTAACATGTTAGCTGCCAGTAAAATGTTACCTATAGTCAGGGGCCAACTGGGTTTTAATTTTTGTTTGCCTGGAAATTGCTTTAAATGATACTAAAAGAGATGTATTGCGATTATCGAATATTTTATTATCTGAATACAAATATTTTTTTGGTCGCCAAATGGCGACACTTTCGCTACAGGTAGAATTTAGGACTGGGATGACGGTGTCGCCATTTGGCGACGAGACTATTTTTATTCAAATGAATAGCATATTGAATTATCCAATTTATAAACATAATTCATAGTAGGGAATGAAAAAAGTTTAAAAGTAGAACCGAAAAAAATCACCGTATAATAGATCACACGCGTCGCCTCACGGAGCAGTCTAGACATCAGTGTCGCCAATAGGCGACAGTGTTAACTGCCTTATATAATAAATACTCTGGAGGAAGGATGCCACTTCGTGGATTTAGACTTGTATCATAAAAACACTTGTGCCAGACTCTGGAGAACTGAAGCCTCAAATGAAGGATGCTCACATGATGGTAAAAAGGGAAGGTAGAGAAAAATCGAGGACTCAGAGAAGAAGATGTAAATCCTGCGCTGCCCAAGGTAAACGTACAGAAACATTATACGAGTGCCGAGACTGTCCAGGTACTCCAGGGTACTGCTTGAATTGTTGCACTATCTACCATATGTAAAGTGAGGTGAGCTTCTGTTTTTTTCCTAATTATCGCTATATATTTTTTTATATAGGTCATCATTAGAAGATTCAACCGTTCTTGACCTGGGAGTTTTTGATTAAAGTTGATGAAATTATTATCTAGATTATATTCATTTTTGATTAGACGTTTAGTTAGTATCAAGTTAGATACTTTTTCGTATATTTGAAAATTCCACTTTGAATGTATTTTCTTTTTGTTTTAGAGAATACTTTAGATATTCTGTTGTATGTATGTTTCACTATTATACTTTGAAGTTGAGTCATTAATTTTCAGATAATGATTGTAGAAGGAAGATAAACCAAAATATGTGTGTAAAAATAAAAAAAAAAATGAAAAAAAAATGTTACCTTGATTTATAAAGTATCCTCCCGACAAATATTTCAGTGCGGACCTGTATTTGATCGTGAGGTCTTGGAGCACCGGCATGCCGTCACCTGATTCACGAGCCCGTTGTACTACATTAACAAAGGCACGAGGGGTTGGTTGCACTCGATTGGGAACCGATCCGCATAAACATGTGCCATTTTTTATTTCGTTTGAGCCACGCAACAGACACCACTATTCACTCACGCGTTACCGACTGACACACTGACTGTATACAAATGAATAAATAATTGTAAAAACATCGTTCCAAATTCTTTCGCTTTTTTGTTTCCGATGCGATGAACCGATAAGGCGGTTGTCGCCAAACACGAGCACATAATATTATTATTGAGACAGGGCGGTACTCAAACTTCCAAAGGGCTATAACTTTGTTACTTTAATTTTACCAGGAAAATGGTAAAGGAAAAAAACCTTTCTTTTGATCAGATCTACTCACTGTTAAAATAAATGACTCAACTTCGAAGTCACCCTGTATATACTTATTAAAGATTTTTTTCGGTGCTACTTTTAAACTTTTTTCATTCCCTACTATGAATTATGTTTATAAATTGTTTGAATAGTTCAATATGCTATTCATTTGAATAAAAATAATCTTGTCGCCAAATGGCGACACTGGCAACCCAGTCCTAAATTCTACCTGTAGTGCCAATGTCGCCATCTGAACAAAAAATTTTTTTTATTCAGGTAAGAAAATATACGATAATATATCTCTCTTTTAGTATCATTTAAAGCAATTTTCAGGCAAAAAATTAACCCTAATTACATGTAACATTTTACTGGCAGCGAACGTGTTAAAAAGATACGGGGTGTTGAAGTTTAGAAATAAAAAACAATTTTTTTTAATATCTTCAAAGCCGTCAACTGGAATGAAGTAAAATTTGGTATGTGACTTTACACCTAAGTATCGTCCACATTCAAAAGTCTTTACTTTTAAAATCAACGTGTACCAGGGGATGCAGGGGATTAGTGGCATTATTTTTCCAAATAAAAATAGTACGTCAAAAAAACAAAGCAGTCTAGACATAATCAAACTTGCTTCTAATTTCTTTCGAGTCTTGAAATTGAGGATAGGACGATCGGAGCTTGAAGCTCATGAAGGGGTGATTGATTATTTTTTTTCTTTTCAGACGACACGGCTGTGGATGATACGGAGGACTATTCGATGATGGAAAGCGGCGTTGGTGAAAGCGAAGGCGGGGAACCGCAGGCTGGCACCAGCGGAACGGACGGCACGGGCGAAGGACAAGGTAGGTGGTTGATGGGATTCACACATCAACAGCGGTGGTTTGGTTCTTGAATTGACAATTTTCTGCGAGAAAAAAAATAAGATGCATAATACTGGCTACATTAACCCCCTCTAAATTTTTTTTGACCTGAAAGAAAAAGTTGTATATAAAAGGTATAGGATCTTTTTATGTAATATTTTTTTTGCATAAAGGTGTTGTCGAAAAATGTATTTTTTTAAATGGAACACTCTGTATATTTTCAGTGAAAATCATAATCCCTTTTTTCTGATTCGAAATATATACGGTTCGTTAAACTTACTTTATCACTTTGGTCAAAAACTTGAAGTTTGTGTGTCATTTAATCATATGGTTCGAACTCGGATACACATGAGTAAATTACACAAGAAATTGAAATTTTTGGAAAAACTAACGAAAATAAAATATTTCGAATCAGAAAAATAGTTCCTGAAAATATACTGGGTATTCCGTTTAAAAAATACAACTCTATTCCTTAACACTTTTCTGAGACATGAAAAAACTTCACGTATATATATTTTTACTTGAGACGTGCCCATTGTCGTCTAGACCAGTTAGGTGAAAAATAAAGCTTCTATTTGGGTACTTCGACAAAATTCAGGCGAAGAGGACTCTTTATACTTTATTAGTCTCTAGCTTTTAATGAACTTTGCCATCATCATCAGGAGCTGCAATAACATTAAGAAGAAGTAGCAACTATTGAGCAAAATGACTTAAATTACGTATGTGAGATTGTTGCTAAATGTTATTAAAGGTTAAATGTTTCCCTCAACTTAACCTTTAATAACATTTAGCAACAATCTCACATACTATTGTAATTTAAAGTCATTTTGCACAATATTTGCTACATTCTTAATGTTATTGCAGCTCCTGGTGATGATGGCAAAGTCCATTGAAAGCTAGAGACTAATAAAGTATAAAGAGTCCTCATTGCATGAATTTTGTCGAAGTACCCAACTAAAGGCGGAAGCTTTATAATTTTTTCATATATTATATTATTATATATATATATATATATAAAAATATAATATATATATATATAAAATATAATATATATATATAATATATATATATAAAAATATAATATATATATATAAAAATATAATATATATATATATATATATATATATATATATATGTCAATTTTTTATCTGGAAAGTCATATAAAAAAGTTTGAGGGGGTTAATTTACAGCTGGACACCCTGAGCATTATTCGTGTATGATTGATTTAATAAGAACTAGTTGCTATCCATTCCATTTTTTTTTTCTAAAATGAGCCCCTCAACCACTGTCAGGACTATGCTATGGATAGTGCTTCTTGACATTTAAATTTCTTCCTAGATTCTAGCGTTTTACAAGTGCTAAAAAGTTGCTGTGATATTGAGAATCGAAGAGTGCAGTGATATAAAAATTTACTGGTCTAAAAGAATCATAATTTGACATTTGTTTGCTTTGAAGAACCAAGCCACCGCTCTGTTCTAAGGCGGACGACGGGACTAGACGTTTAGGCAAATGTCAGACATGTATCTTGAAATAAAAACGTATGTCGGAGGATTCGGTAGAACTGCAAATAGAACGTTTTTTTCAATAATTTTAACGCGAATATTTAAAGGTGTTTCTGGAATCTGAAGAAATTGCGGTGAATTTGGCAACATTGCGAAAAAAATAATTGAGCATGTTCAGTATCCGATACGGTGCGTTTGCGTCTAACGTATTCATACTTTATTGTCCGTTTGATGCAAGCAACTGGAAAAACTGGTTACTGCGCATGGTTGTCGTTTTGAGCGCACTGTTGTCCAATATCACAAACCGCCTTTTATTGATCGGCGAGTCAACTGCGAATTATTTTAAAGTGTACGAAACGTATTTTTTGAGTTTTCTGCATTTGTTGATACAATTTGCGGTAAAATTCTCCGTTAACGTTAAGGTTGGCAAATGAAGAGATAAACTAGTCACTGTCACATAAATCTTTGTCTTGGGTTATATTGCAGTCCTGTATTTTTGTCCGAGTTCTTCTGACACTAATTGTGATATCATGCGAGTACATCGAAAAAAAAAGCTGTTGGCATTAGAGGTATGTCTTGAGTTGCGTGATATTTAAAAAAGCCCTCGGCATTTTTTCAAGAAATCGCGAGAAAGTCGACGAGGTCAACTGGATAGACAAATTGTGATGTTGCATATTTTACAAAAAAGCTGTTGGCATTAAAACTGTGTTATTGGTTGTGTGATATTTAAAAGAGCCCTTGGCATTTTTTTAAAAATCGCCAGAACGTCGATGATGTCAACTGGTGAGATGGATTGTGATGATTGCATATCGAACAAAAAAGCTGTTGGCATTAAAAGTTGCATAAAAAAGCTTTTGGCATTTTTTTAATGATGCATCAACGAATTGCTATTCTTTGAATAAAACTGATGAGATATAGGTTAAAAAAGCCATTGGCATCACATATATCGATAAAAAAATAACCGTCTCTTCATTTACTGATGGATTTATGTGCAATAAAATTGCATTGTTCGAAATAGTTTCTTGGGAATTGCATATGGCAGATTGAATCAACAAGAAGAAACGGATCGAGCGCCATTTTATTTCTCTCGCAGCAACGTGGTTTTGCATGTCTGACATACTCGTAAAAAGTGTAAACAAGGTATTAATTATTTGTTTCTGCATTGCAACGATGTGTCAGTTCCGCCGTTCGTCTAAAACAAACTTTTGTACACAAAAACCTCAAGTAAAAAAATTATCGTGAGTTGAGTTTGTTTTTTTTGAACACATTCTGCAACAAATGCGACAGTTATTTCTTCGTTTTATTCTAGTCATTCTTTTGAATCAAGCATCGTAGTTTTTATTTCCAATTACAATTGTTTTTTGTTTTGGTTTTACTTGAGGTTTTTGTCTATGCAATTTGTAATTTGCTTCTACGATTTTACGACATGTTGTTTGTAGTTTGATTTTTCTAGTTTGTAAGTTTTTTGTTGTGTTTTATATTTCCATTTTTGACATTTATATTTTTTTATTATAAATGTCTTTGTTTCATTCAGAGCAATTTGGCCGATTTGGAGAGATTTTCAAATCGGCATGCTATATTTTCGAAAATTTCACACATTGTGGCTGTTTGATTTTCGAAAGGGCCACTCGATTTTACTGGCGATGGAAGAATGCGTAAATTGGTATCGGTCTTACAGGAACATTTGTTTTTTGTGGATTGATAACAATTTATGCATAATTTTTACATAGTTCTAAAATTTTGGAACTGTGTTGTGTATTTGGCAATTATTTCATTAAATAATTGCCATCTAAAATCATTTTCGAGTTCAGTTTGATTTTCATCAACATCATCAAAAATGATGTTGGCAGTTGAAACTTCAAAACAAGCATAGTGATTTTATTCAGTAATGGAAATTGTGCAACACAGGGATGAATTGACAAAAAATAACCAATATTATGAGCCACATAATATTGTGATATTTCTTGTAAATTCTTGTTTCTTGTCTGATGCTTCAGTATCTTGAAGTATCTTCGTGTATCTGTGAAAGATAGTGTTTTTATCAGATGAGTGCTTCCTGATTGAAAAGATTTTGTTGTTACAAGCCATAATTTTTTTAAATTACTATGAAATCGGATATTTCAATATTTTGGAATATCTGCTCTGAAGTGCTTTTAATTAGAAATCGTTAAACCATTTATTATCTACAATCAACTGATTTGATGTTTTGCTCATGGTTCTGAGCAAAAATCGTTATTATCAAAAGTAAAAAAAGAATATGTCATTAACAAACCGATTGAATGTTAAGTGTGAAAGTATATCACAAGTTTGTGATATGCGTCGTTGGAAATAGTGATTGAAAAACCATGTGTCTCTAGTGAAACATTATTTATTGCAACTCAATTTTCTCTACTCATGTGAGCCTAAATAGTTTTTCGAGATTTAACAATGTTATTGCTTTCCATACAGAATTTCCATAGTTTCTTATAGCTACTTTCCTATGAGGAATTTCATGGACTTTCTGTAAACGTAATCGCAGTCATAATTAATGTCAATACTTTTTGACAATAAGTATGCCTGCATTATTATTCTTCATGATGACACCATAATATATCAATCATCCAATAAACTGTCAACGTCTATATTGGATCCAGAAATTTTGTTTGCACGTATTAAAAGTGATGAATATTAAAAGCAAAGTGAAAAGAAATATTGAAGTACGACCCGCTGTGGTTAAAGCGCATCTTTGATCTGGTACAAAAAATTGTGCGTTATTTTGATTGAAAATTGATTCTAGTAACCGAAAAGCAAAAACGTGAAAAGACTCCTGGATTTTGATTGTGTAAAATTTTGCATAATTGGCATCCACTATTTTGAAGTTTTCAGGTTTTGTTATTTTTCTTTACCAGATGCAAATTTTTGGTCACCTTTGAAAGCCATCATTTGTCGGATTTTATATTGTGGGCTCGTAATTTCCGTACGGTGACGTAGAAAAACGTATTTCAGTTCGCGTCGCACTATGACCGCTAGATGGCGTCGATGGTGGCGATATAGTGCATAACGTATATCGACTATTTAATGGTGAATTTGGTTACACTTTCGGGAAAGATATGTCGTACAATCGTGGCAGAAGACAAAAACCATGACTCGATTTTTCTTTTTCATCACGGCAGACGTTGAATGGTTCTTAGAAACCACCAAGGGTTTGTCGAGCAACGGCATTGTCGTTGGTGGTTTCACTTACCATCAGAACATCACCAAGGGATCATCTGGAACTAGGTAAGGGTGTGGATATTTTCAATAGCTCGGGTTTGACAGTTTTCCAATTTTAAACGGAATAAATGTTTGATGGAAATTAGACGCTTAACCAAGCAATTTTCTGTTGAAAATTGGAAATTTTCAAGGTCAAACTCTAACAAAGCTAAACTCAATTTCAAAATATGAATCGATTCAAATAATTATATTTTAAAATTGAGTTTGACGGGGGTATGAATCTTAAAATTAGGATTATTCTAAAGTTTATCGCGAAAATGACCCGATTTTTGTGTATGAGTATTCACCTTTCGTGAATTTTTCTAACGTTTCATACCTCCATGGTTATGAAGACATGCTAAGAACAAAGAGCATCGATTTCAAAACAACAGGTTTATATAAAGACGATTACGTAAATTGTAATATTGCTGGAAAAAATCTACAGGGAGTATAATGTA